GTTGATGGCTCTTGAAGCTGAAAACTCAAAACTGAACCTTGAGTATGTGCGTGTGCATGTGTATGTATGTGTGTGTAATTTTGGGCCTTGGAAGAGAGGTTGGTGAAGGGTGTGTCATAACAATAACTGAGTGCTTGCTCTGCATTAGCCAAGTTACCAGTGTGTATGTGTCTATTTTAACTTTCCAGTAGCCCTGTAGGCACGTATGTACTGCCAAGACAAAAACAGATTCAAGTTAAGTAACTTCGAAAGTTCGTAAGAGGAAGAGAGAGGTCTTAAACTCAAGTCTCTCTCCAGTACCTTGTGTCCTCCCACCTTGAATAATATCACATTGTCAGGAGATGATGAGATTTCTCTGTGAGACCAGCAAGGCAGAGATCTCATTTGTAGTGTGGACTGTAGAAATAATACACAGAGCATGAGATGCATCCGTTAAAATGTCTTATTTTGACAACCCTAGTACATTCTTCTGTGGAGTAGGAGTTTTGCTGAAAAGCTCTTACTCCACTATTGTTGGAGGGTCAGTCCATCTAGACCAGTGGATCTGATCATCAAGCCTACTGTAATAAATTGAAGTAATGTGACATTAGTTGGCATGTTTCCAAAGATTATGGGCCATGCACAGGACTTCAGTCCAGACTTACATTATAACTTCTTATTGGGGTCTCACAGCCTGTTGCCATTCTGATGCACTTGACATAACTTACAGAATGCTTCCAGTCCCCTCTGAGGTTAGACCTGTTTTCCTGAATCAGGTTCCAAGAGGCTAAGTAAGTTGCCAAAGTCCTGCAGAGCTGGGATTTGGAGGCAGATACCTGACTCCAGAGCTCATGTTCTTAACCAACCAACAAATACACCGAGAGAGGAAATTGGGATGGGCAGTTATCTGGAGAGGGGCTGTGCCCTTCAAAGACCACCCCCCAACACATCTGCAGTTAAATAAGTTGGGATTATGACTCCCAGTGAGGGAGAACACACCATAGGGAACCATGAGCTGTCTTAGGAAAAGGGAGTTAGAACCTATTCTAGCATTTGGGTTTCAGTTGGGTCATTTGGGGAGGGCCTAAGCAAATAGGGTGTTCTCTACATTGGACATTGTCAGAAAGCAGGGACAATTCTGAGTGTGAATAAATTTTATTCATCGGGACTAGCAGGAAAATAAAACTGTAATTGGTAAACTCATAGCAGTCACTTATTTTAGCCAAAGGAGGGTAGGTTTGGTATTTTTCAGGTGGCACGGTGATCTTGTGCTTGGACAGAATTAGGAGGTGGGCTCATTTTGCCTCATTTTGTGTGACCTTATCTGAGGTCGGTATTCTGTGAGATTATTTGCATCCCGTAGGATCGTTTACATCTAATGGCCTAGGTGTGAGGGCAGCCTAATTTCTGAATGTCAGGAGCTGCTCTCATTTTCTTTTTTAGCAGGAACTCCAGGTACATGCCACAAAAAAAGAAAAGGTATGATGGCACCCTTTCTCTTTAACCCCAGGATTTGGCTGTTTGTCTCTGAAGTTAAGTCTGCGTGGTGTGTGTGTGTGTGTGTGTGTGTGTGTGTGTGTGTGTGTGTGTGTGTGT